CTCCTCAGAGCATCTAGGAATATTGGTGCAGAATGGCTCGTTCCACATTCGCCTGGATGACCGCCCAAATGACTTCTATGGGGTTCAGTGATTGCGAATATGGTGCTAGGCGCAGGAGTCTCCCTGATTGGTAACGCTCCTCTTGGACAAGCTTTCCATATCCGTGTGGCATGGTGCGCTGTCGAATATCAGAAGACACCTACCAGTAACAGTGGTGCCGTTGGCATCAAGCATTAGGCACAACCACGGTGCAAAACTTTCATTTCTGCAACTTCCTTTTAGGATGATAGATCCAGGAAGTCCATGTGAGGTCATTGAGGTGATAAGGTGCAAATTTTGCCCACGGATGCTCACTACAATACATTACGCACATCTGCCGCGTGCTGAACGCCCCCTCATGCGAGCGAAAAGCAGATTGAAATTCATTTCATCACACCAAACTGCTTGCCACCCTTCAGCATCAAAGTTCATGGGCCCCAAAACCCACGACATCCTCCGTTTCTGTTCTCAATTGTATTCATGGACTCAGGTATAGCATGTATAGTTTTCAAAGTAATGAGGCAACCCTCTGTTCACCAGTATCAACTCGAGTAGATTGCATTCAACATGGATTCTGAGGACGACACAGATCTTATACTAAAGTTGAGCCATTGATTCAATATCGCCAGAGATGCAAGGAGTGTAATCGTTGTCAACTAATTCGGAACCCGCAAGCCGAAGTTACGTCACGAGGTTGTAATCTTGTACATGTGTTTCGGAGACACAGCACACACACCAATAACAAGGGAGTGGATAGTGAGAGTTTGTGCAGCCTGTTGATGGATCTGAAACAGTGTGTGAACGTTAAATGCACCATTGCAAAATGAGAACCTTGGTTTGCTAGTTTCAGTGGCAAGGTCAGTGACAGTGCTATGCGCAATAGACAAGGGAGAATAGAGCGTTGAGTGCAGTGCAGAAGTGTTGTCGACGGGGTTGAGAGGGTAGATGATAGTCTCGGACTGCCCATTCCGGAAGAGAAATTTTGTTCGTGGTGTCCTACCCCTTGTCGAACTGCCTCCTCATGGTACCAGCTGGGTGATTCGGGATTTTCCCATTCCAGCAAATCGTTCGGCGGCAGTGTTCCAGGACGTGGTGCGTTTTCGCCTGGCAAGCGTTCTTCCTATGAAAAACCACGATTGTCCGTTTAACAACAATGTGACGTGGCAGAGGTGACTCAACGATAAATTAAGTCACTGCTCCTTACTTCATCCTGGCGAAGCATTGTAGTCCAGCAACTTTGTGCTGTAATTCTGGGGAGCATTGGGCCGGTGTTTGACAAAGCAACAAACGAAAGGCGTATGAACTGAGCAATCAGTCATCAGCTCCCAAAGGACGCGATTCCCTGAATTCGCTCCGCTGCCTTGCGGGCACGCTAATCCGCCAAAGACTCGGGGTGGTTTTCCCTAAGTTAGCACCCTATTTCGGCTTAGGCATCGGGGTAGTATCTCACCCTCTGACGAAATCATAGACTTTGATGCGTTGTGTTGTTTTATTTTACTATTTCTGTACCTTCTTTTGAGTCCCATGGTTTCTGATGGCTCTTAATTATTCATTGACTGTTGCTATATATATATATATATATATATATATATATATATATATATATATACCCCTTAGCAGTCCATTCAATAGTCTGACCCCCATGGCACTGACATATATGGAGATTCATTAAAGTGGCTCCACCCGGAGCTTTTCGCTTAACAGTCTGACTTAAAAAACCGAGAGGGTGATTGCAATGTTGCATTGGGATCTGCATGCGGCCTGTCGCATGCAGTGTTCGAGGATCTAGGACAATCCTTATGTGTTTTCGGCACCTGCGACCACGGCCAACCGCATGTGGGAATTGTCGGGTTTGCACCTATGTGATCAGGAGCTGTCTGTATTGAGGCGGACGGTAGCAAACTATTAAGCTCCGCATGGTGCACTCCTGCGGTCGGCAGCAATGCGTGGCACTCGTTTTCGATGTCAACCGAGCTGTGAAATACTCCAAAGCCGCTTGTCTCTCGTGGCGGTTCAGAGGCAAGAGAGCCTTGGATTTATAACAACCTTCGAAGAGAATTGTGAGATTGAGTTCGTCCGAGCGATAACCGTAGGCACGTTTGCTATGAGTAGTCCTGATGGCACTTAGAAATTGCCACCCAGCGAGGTTCAATAAGACACGGAGGTACGCAAATCACCACGTCAAGTTGAGGTCCAGTTGCATCGCGAGGGAATTTTTCTTTCCGCTAAGTGGTTGTTGTACTCGTTCGTATCAATCTACGACACCTCTGTGTAAAGAAATGGTATTCTAAGCTGGGAACTACCCCGTAGAACAAGCAAGTCAAGCAAGGCGACCAAAACTGAAGTACCACGTCACTGATCTGGAACAGACTCAACGTCGGGTCTTCAAGTGCGTAATTGGATCGCGTAATATGCCACATGAAAAGAGGCGGAAACACGGGTATTGCTGATTAGCTGACAAGCTGCTAATGATTACATTGTTACGAACTACCCAAATCATGTGCGTCGCTTTTTACTGCACTTTAGCAATAACACTTAATTGAGATCATTCCTTGAAACTGGCAGAAAAGTATAATTGCCCGGAGTATTGCAGAAATCTCTTTTCCGTTCGTGTGTGTCACTCCTGAAACGACCTACCACATAGGCAAGAACACAACGGTTGAATGAGGCACCCAGGCTCATACATACCAAGCGCAATGGGAACCATCAGACAACGGCATGTAAACTCCCCAGAAGCAATCTCGGTCGTACAAAGTTCTAACAGAGGGAATCAGCGAGTGAAACCTCGTGCGCCCTATCAAGCACGTCTACCAACCACGGTGAGGATGCCCATGTGCAGTGCGCGCACTCATCACGATACGAATCGCGACCTCCATCAAGCGCCGACCTTACAACGTGCCCCATTCCGAAGCGCACCTCGGTCCACAGGCTGTCATCGCCCCTGCGTTGTAATTAGCTCAAATCCCATGCCAGCTGATTATCGACAACGGTATGGAATTATTCCCTATGACCACTTCATTCGGACTCATTCATGTGGATGCCTAGCTGTATACGGACAGTTCAGCGATGACGTGGGCGGAAAATATGAGCAATCAAATTTCACATGGAAATGCCAACGCCTGTAAGTTTACGTGCCAACCACCATAATCACGCGCACTGCGAAGCCCAGGTATACCTCTGGCATGTGTGTGGCTTCACTTTAACCAATCATGCCTGAATACGTGTGTGGAGCACGACTAGGCAACCGCCAAATCGCACGCAATCTGCGCCACACCCAAGCGTTCCCTTATAGTTCATGTTTTAAATTTGTCTGATATGCTATTGGTCGATTTGGGATTGATCACTCAAGTAGTGGGGTGCGCTTTGAAGCGTCTACGTCTAATTGGGTGATATTTGATTGCTTTAATGATGTTACTGAATGATGTATGGATGAACGTACTTTCCTTATGACTGTGTTTGAAAGCGTTATGAATGCAATAGACTGGGATATGGTATAGTAGGTAGTTGACCTCATTGAATGCAAGCGCTGACTTGTTGCTTTTTGGAGAAAATTACAGGGCAACGTGCTACTTGTGCCTTATCTCGTTGGGTACGCCATCCAAATTCGGCAACCTTTGTTTCATCTTGGCCTCTTGGTGCTAGAGACTCTGCAACGTAAGTGAGCAAAGAATGTCAATGTGCTACGCAATCTCTTTTGAGAGCAGAGACTGAGGTTACTGGGAGTTTGCAACGGACTACAGTTGCGCAGTCTCATATTAGCGTACGGAATATCGATTAGCCCTAATTACGGAAGTTGCCGTTTGCTGAAGGTCTGCCGCAACACCAAGCCGGAAATGGAGTTGACAATTCAGCTGTCCAGATTGCCGACTGATTTAGTTTTTTCTTCGGACTTTCCAAACTTGCAATTCTTTCCCGAACTCAGTTGTCTCCTCCCTGCTTTAGATTTGTTCAAAAAACACGATTAGATGTTTCCATTGGATTCCAGGACTTCGTTATCTAAGCTGTGCTACTGTGGGATATCTTTATTATGCTGTCATGCGTGCGTTATGTACGACATGAACCCAAGGAAGCGGTACATGATTGAGCGTTTTTAGCTATAGCTTTCCAACAAGATACGTCAACTATTAGTTCTCCCATTGTTAGTGGTAAAATTCCATGCGATCGGCAAGCTGGTTATCAGGATCATTTGCCAGACAACCACACCGTCCTACCAACCTTTTGTCTAACATACTTGATTATGTTTGTGATGCTTCATGGCTTCATTGCAATTCGCACTGTGGGTATAAGAATTTTACTCCGGATAACATTAACTGACATCTGCGCCTATTAACTATTGTATCATTCCCAGTCTTCTTAGCCATGTCCACGTGGTTTCATTGCAAACCCCTTTGTTAGAGTTGCCCGCTCCCACGCGGTGAAACTTGTCCAGGTATTACGTCACAAGCGGATTTGGTCCATTACCAAGCCACAGGGGCACATCCCCTCTTGTTATTCCTTTCATCCCACATTTGCCCTGAGACAGGTTACTCCCACCACCTTCTATGCGCTGTACAGCGAACCAATTTGGTAGCCTTATTAGACGGATACCGTTGAGGGATAGCAATACTGCTGAAAATGATCCAACACGGTTGTAAAAAGCTTATGGTGACTTAAGTTGAATTGCTATTGCACTTTAATCTCCATTTGTATTGTGCCGTTTAGATTTGGACCCGGAGTTTTACGCGTTACTAGAGACGCAAACGAGTTTGTCGCTTATACCCATATTGCCTTGCATTCAAACATCTAATTCTCATTTTACACTATCGTTATTTAGAAGCGCAGTCGATTCTATAGACCCTTAAATAGCGGACTCATTCCATTTGACATTGTAAGTTTCACTCCAACCATCCTAATGGACTAGCCATGCGCTTGCTTTCTTACTCGTGACAAATACTTAATCATTATTCAAATTTGTCACTCACCGACTTCGCCAGTACACGAATACAGACGGCAAAAGTCTGCTATTGTGGAAGATAGGTCACTTTTCAGTTGTTTTCTTACTTTGGGATTAAGGCGAGGATTCTGTTAATGAGAAGAATTGGAATGGTTGTTTATAGAGATGCTGTGTCACTTGGGATGCAAAATGAGGCCATACAATGATCAATGATTAATCGTACTTTGCGGCCTTAAAAACCTAAGCTTAACATGTTCCGCAGGATGGTGGGTGAGGGTTTTCCAAGGAAAAAGAATAAAAGCTCTTAACAGCGAGCAGCCGAAAAAGCTGAACTAGTCCAAAATAACTTGGTCCATCTGCATGGTTCACATACGGTTTTCTACAGATTGAAATGTCACTGCCTTTGGTTTTTCAGAAAAACCGATGTGGAATTATTGCAGGTTTGTTCCCTGAATATGGGTACAATTTATGTGTGTTTTATGAGATGTGCGTGTTGTATCAAGAAAGCCGTAGGAAAGGTAAAAATGTATCTCGGAAAATTAACCAAGTACAACTGAGTCAATCCCTTGTTAAACGGAGAGTCCAGCGACAGACACACGACCAATAGTAAGATAGGAATGAGTCAGCAAGTCAACCAATGAGATCGAGCCAATCGATGTTGCTCACACGGTTACCACAGTGCGAGATAGGTCTGCTTGTAGATAGGTCCAGCCTACGGATGTGAACCTTATGTGGAGATATTGTAAGCGAAGTGCGTCTTAAATGACAGTTTAACGGAAGTAGTAAGTTTAGCGCTGTTGTTTCTGTGACTACCTAGGCCTTTTCCAACTTTACAACTGCTAACCAAATGGAAGGGACTTGAGCACAACACCATATTCACGGTCAGTAGTACGTGACCTGACCGGGCGACGGTTTCCTCGAGCCATCCGCAAAGCCACCATTAAGTATTCATGTGTTACGGATGAAGTTAACAAGTAGCGAATATTTGGAATCGGGAAAGCAATGCATAAGGAGGTATTACTCTGTACGACAAATGTCTCCCTCCCAATTGACCAACTAATCTACGCCACTGCATCACGCCTAACTCAGCTTCCAGCATGGTAACTACTGTGTTCTTCATTCTCCGATGATTGCACTTTCAAGTGGACGTATTTGCTAAGGGAGCTTAGTAGTTGACCAAGTGTGGAACAACCACCAGCTTACCATCGGCAAGAAGTTGACGGTCTATAAATCCATGATGCTGTCCGTTCATCTACAAGGCAGTTAAACGTGGACGACGTACCGGCGGGATATGAGATAACTCGAGCGGTTCCAACAACAGTATCTGCGACGGATTCTGCGCATCGGTTTGTGCGACAGAGTTGCAGACACGGAGGTGTTGCTCCGAAGTGGAATGTATTCAGTGGACTGCATGCTATCGCAGAGACACTTGAGGTGGCTCGGTCATGTGTGGCGTATGGATTCGACGCGGATACAGAACCGGCTGCTGTATGGCCAATGAGTGCACCAAAGCGGCACGTGGAAAAAACGAAGTTACTTTATCAGGACATGAACAAAGTTAACCTATCAGCTCCTAATGTTGATTACAGGTGTGGGAAATCGAAGGCGGTTGATCAGCGTGAATGGCGCGATCTGATCACGAAGGCCATTGCTGAAGTGCAAGCGAAAGCCCTCGTGTATGCGGAAAAGAACGACAGTTGCGGAAAGGACAGGCGCCGACGGCTGTACTCCATCGACGTCGTGCGCATAGTGTCGTAGCACATGCGGTCGCGAATGCCTGAGTGAGACAGGTCTAGTTTGCCATGCGCGAGGCCACTCGGGACCAATATAGAAACGACGACGGGTAGTGCTGAGAAAGTAAGCAGAACCAGCGCAGCCTACGTAGGTACGCTGCATTCAATAGTTCAATAGTTCAATAGTGTATGATGGGATAAAAATCATAACTTTACAGGACCAACAGAAAGAAAAATGCATAAGAAAAGTAAAATCAAAATGTTCCAGAGTAGAACGTGAAGAATCAGCGGTTGAACCATTGCACTTTATCAAACTGTTGTGTGGCGTTTTTCACTAAGATGCAGTTTAGTAGTCTTTCGAATGTCGACATGTCTGGTGCGTTCATCACATACCTTGGTAAGGCATTCCAGTGAAGACAGGTCCTAAGTGAGTAAAAACATTTTCTACAATTCAAACGGGAGTGTTGTATCACTAGTTTCAAGCGGTTGTCGTCAGAATTGTTTGTAAGGAGCTAGGATCAACAGTGATGTACATGGATGCTCGTTTTCAGTTAGTATTCGATATGTGAGTGTAAGATCGCCGCGAAACTGTCGGTATTCTGTGGAGAACACACCGAGTACACGAAGGCGCACTTCGTAACTGAGACCGGCTAGTCCACTCGTTGTCTTTGTGACTCTTCTTTGGGGTTGTCCCAATAGACGAATATCTCCTTTTAACTATGAACAGCAGGACTGAATTGCATATTAAACTTGAGGACGAATATAGGAGTTAATCAACATTGGTACTAGCCGTCGCTCATAGGTGCCGAGAGCTAGCCCCAAAAGTCTCAAGTGCAAGTTCGCCACACTTGCTGCTTTTGAACATTGGAGCGAATTACCGAGAATTTTTCGTATGATTAGACCTAAATCGCGTTCACTAATCACGTATTGCAGGACGTGTTTTCCCACTAGATATGCGTTGACGTAGCTGATACGCACCATCAGCAGGTGGCATTTTGCAGGGTTCAGTGGGAGTTGGTTCGTTTCTGCCCATTCGTTAATCCGAGCCAGATCATCCTGAAAATAGCCACGGTCGGATGCTGAGCGAATTGTTCTCCATATTTTTGCATCATCTGTAAATATTTGCATGGGGGATAAAATGTCTACTGGAAGGTCATTAAGGTAGACTACAAACAGTAAAGGGTCGAGGACGGATCCTTGCGGTACACCACTGGAGACGCACAGGCTTGCAGAGGGTGTGTCGTCCACTCTTACCTTGATTGCTCTGTCATCTATCTTTCAACCAGATGAACGGGGAACCTCTGATACCGTAGGCAGCAAGCTTTTGGAGGAGAAAGAAGTGCCTGACCCTGTCGAATACTTTAGCAAAATCCAAGTAAATCACATCTATGGGGACTCGTTCATCAGTTGCCCTGCTCCATGAGTCCCGAGTAAGCAACAAATGAGTGAAGCAATGTCGTCTGCGTCTGAGAGCATGTTGGGCATTGGAAATTATTTGTAGACTTTCAAAGTATATCGTCAGTTCATCTGCGATTACCGATTCCATCCCATTTGGTAAAACAGGAAGGAGAGTTATAGGTCGGTAGTTGTCATGATCCGGACGCTTACCTCCTTTGTATATTGGAGTGCTAATGCCACTTTTCCACTCAGATGGGAGTGTATGGGTGTTAAGCAGACCCTGGAAAAAGCCTGAAAGTGGTACTGCTATTGAGGGAGCAAGGGTTTTAAGTACTTTTGGGTAGATCATATCGATTCCAGGGGCACTCTACTTCCGGAGAGACTGTAATTTGCTTGCAACAGCTGCTGGGGTAAAGGTGACGTTGGGTCAGCATACGACATTTGTTTGGAGTTGATATGGTGAAGGCTCAATGTTATTTGTAGCTACCGAGCCAAATTGTAGGCGTAGTGGGTGTTTTACGCTTGGTTCACCCAGCCGCGTCGACAGAAAGAACTCGCACCGACTTTGTACACAAATGCTCTATCCACAAATCTGAGGCAAAGTACAACTAGCCGTGTATCTAAAACTCACTCGCCCACCCGATCGATAGCCTTATCGAGCGCACTGAGGCAGGCGATTCGGTTCGCCCCAGCTTTCAGCCACCATCACATCCTTTCCTTTTTCTTTTTTTTCGTGCTTCGTGTGTTGCGGTTTCCATATCCTCGTCCACTGCGGACGAGCTAGCTGCCTATCCTATGACCGGATTGGAGCTGCACTAGACTGCTGCCGAATGCGGTAGAACGCGTATTTCTTCCCAGTTGCGTCATATAAGGGTCTTCACGTGTCGCTCTCACTTGGATAAATTTATTTTTTGCTTTCTTGAGGGCCCCCACTACAGCCTTCCCCTTTGGGTGCGCCGTGAAGTCGTTCCGCCTTTTGTGACAACTCTGTTTCACACTACACTGCATTCCGCTGTATGGTATCCCGGGCGATGTGTTCACGGTGGCGCTTGAACCAAGTCTTGAAGGTACTGGTAATCTTTGAATCTGGGGTATTGCAGAAACGCAATGCTGATTTTCTTGATTTTCCAAGTTATTGGTAATCGTTTTTGCGACTATGGATCGCTTTCAGGCTCGACTGAACGATTCTCGTCCACTCGGCGGCAGTGGGTAAAAAAATGCGATCGACCTTCACAGTATCCTTCAAAACGCTCGATTATTTCCAAAAGATCCGGTTCATTGTCCCAAAGATCTCAGGCCTCCATTATCCGACTTGTTGCAGAGCCGATGGAGTATCTGAACATTGCCTTGGTATGGTCTTACATTTGCAGCCAACTGGATCAATGCCGCGAATTCCATCCGATCCGAGTTCCACGATTTTCAGTTTTCCGACAATGTGCTTTCTCTCATCTCTAGTGGGGTTGGCAATGAGATCATTTGTTGTTCCTCAATGGCGAGCAAGTTTTGGCAACCTAGTACCTCTGTCACCATGTTTTACGCTTGCTTCACCCAGCCGCGTCGACAGAAAGAACTCGCACCGACTCTGCACACAAACGCTCTATTCACAAATCTGAGGCAAAGTACAACTAGCCGTGTAGTTAAAGCTCACTCGCCCACTCGATCGACCGCACTGAGGCAGGCGATTCGGTTCGTCCCAGTTTTCATCCACCATCACAGAGGGATCGTGGCATCCACAGCAGTAGTTGTTAGGCCATTGGCCGTCTTGCGTGGTGGTTTTCCTGGCTTAACCTTTCGTTTGCCATTAGGATATCTGTATACTAGTTTGGTGTTACTCGTAAATTTCAGCACCATATTCTCCTGCCATTCGTACTTATCGACTCTAATGAGTGACGTGTAATAGTTTCTGATTGCGTTGTAATTCTGCCATGTGGCATCACATGGGCTTAGTAAAGGTTGTCTCCAGATCTCATCTCTTCTGTTGATCCATTTACGCGTTC